ATTACTCCTCTGAAACTTTCCCAAAGCACAGAACTCATCTGGAGGTCCACCATTCTGAGCCATCACTTAGGCAAGTGATTCCAGTGCATCAGCAATAGCACGACCATTCCTTCCTGCCATCTACAACCACCAAAAAGGTTAGAAGGAAACAACTCATCGATAGCGTTCTCACACTATCGACTGACAGGGGATTAACAACATAAACACTTGGTCGGACGGACCGACCTGCTCTGATGCCACTAATGTAACACCCTTTTTCTACCCCAAAAATATCAAGGCAAAATAACACAGAAATCAGAGTGAATAAATAAATCTCATTAAAAAGCCACTAAAAGGGCGTACATTTCTCAAGTCATCAAAATAGGTCCATACTCCGTAACTAGGGGTTTTTCCCAAAGTACATAAAAATATCATAAACAGCGGAACTCAAAGCATAAATCAAAGTATTTCTCAAAAAGGAAAATTAATCAAAATAACGTCAACATTATAAAATCAACTCAAGGAACCCAACCCGATGTTACATATCAGAGCAAGACCCTCTAGGATGACCAAAAGACTAAAACACTCAAAAACTTCAAAACTAACTCCTCGTCGGCGTCCACGGCTAAACTGGATCATTTACACGTTACCCACGTAGAGGTAACATTCAAAAAAGCAGGGTGAGTAAAACAATTCATAATAATCAATGTATAACAATTAATGCATAAACAGAATCATAATTATATTCAACACATTCATATTACTCAAATATGCCTCAAAGGCCACAACGTCGTAATTCATACAAAAAGACTCATAAATGCAATGTGACACAACTCAATGCATGTGGTACCAATCATCACAGCGCGATGGACACTGGGCCATCAACCCTCCATAGATCCCCATCAATAGGATCGATTCTACTAGAGAACCGGAGCACATCAAAATACTTCACATCCACACAGTGGGATTGGAGCCAAAGTAATCGAGGTCCTGAACCGAAGTCCGGATGCACATGAATGTATGATGCACACGTCACAATAATAATCCTCACAATACAGCATATGGTGCATCATCATTCATCATATTCATCATCATCACATAAATCATCATATCTCATGTTATCATATAGTTCATCAAATCATGGTAATTTCATCATATTAACTCAATCGATACATCATAGGAAACTATCATAACATCATGTACACATCACCCAAAACCCACTGTCATACTCGGGGTAATCCATCCCAGAAATCCCAGAATTAAACATCAAGGCATCGCTGCAAAACGATCAAATTTCACGAACTCTGCTACGTTCGCTGGCTTGCTCGCTAGGCGAGTCGGTAGCGAGTCTTCGCTGGCATGCTCGCTAGGCGAGTTTGTGGCAAGTCTTCGCTGGCATGCTCGCTAGAGCGATGACAACAAAAACCTGTTACGACCAGAACGGATTCTTGTCCAAATGCTCATATGATTCACTTACCCAATGCCCCCAAAACATCCCTAAATCATCCCTACGGTCATACGGCGAGAACGGCACAAAATCGATGGTTTATTAGGCCAATCTGGCAACATTCACACTGCCTAAATCACTATTTTCCTGCAATTGCTCTGAGTGCATCAGAGTTACTCACATTTGAACATTCCTATTCCTACAGGGTCAAACATATACTGATCCAAGGTTTTGGCCACGAAGGCTAAGGTTTCCCTTCTCATATCAATATTCAGTGTTACATACCATTACCCCTAACCTCAAAGCCTTATCATCAAATTCCCTATTTTCCCACAACCAACCCAAAATACCTTAAATCCTAAACCAACCATAAACACATCTAAAGGCATACATAGAAAATCATGAACAGTGATACTCCTCATACCTTAGTCGATTCGCAGCTTTCACGATTAATTTCGGGATCTTCTGCCTCCAACCTTTCCTTCAGAGCTCTAGCCACCAAAATTTCACGGTTAAACAAAATGAATTCAAATTCCCCTTCAGAACTCAATTTTGTCCAACCTAGTCTTGGGTCTCACAAATTGGGCTTTTCCCTCATTACCCTTACTAACTCCCTCAAATCCCCAAATTGCCCTTATTTCACTTATATTCCATTTAATTGATAATAATACTTATAAATTAATATTATATGCTATTAATCAAATAAATACCCGAAAATGCACATCTTTCCAATATTCACAAAACCACCGAAAATTCACCGAAACATGAATCTTCTCAATTAAATAATTAATTAACATATTCCGATTAAATTTGGGGTGTTACAATTTACATATCACTTCTCTAGCATGCATTAGTCCTAACATTGTTATTGACTAATCTCAGATAGTCGTGGTTTCTACATAAACTCGATTACGATTGCTTAACATAGCGCTAAATTGTCCCATAATTGGAAAATGATCATTCGTGGCTCAAACTTATGTTTGAAAGTTCAAGTATGGTTGATTATTTGTCTTAGGTCCATTACCTGTGAAACTTGTTGTTATGAGGCTTTGATTTTATCAATCCTCTAATGAGTCTTCATTATCCTTGGCCTAAGTACATGAGTTAACCATCGTTGATCATTTGTTCTAACAACTAATCACTAACTCACTAACAATATCATTGTAATAATTTTGTTTATGTTACTTTTTTACTCCCTATCTCTCTTTTATTTTTATGCTCCATTATTATCATCTCATATCATATTATTGTTCATGCTTCTGTCATTTTTCCTTTGTCCACTTGGACCTTTTGTTTATGTTTATGTTCTTTTTCTTTTGTCCATTTGGACCAAAAACATTAATAAAGGCTTAAACCTCTAAAAAACTTAGTGCTCTTAATTGTGTGGTTATGCTCATGGATGAACTTAGACCTTTGATCTCTTGGACTATTCTTAGACCCTTTGACTTAGAATTAGGTTTCTTTCCCTATGTTTGGAGTATTTTGGATCTTTGTCTTTATTTGCCTTGCTTATTTGCTTATGCTCAAGATGGAAGGAATTCTTATTTGGCTTGCTATGAAGTGTGCTACAATTTGGTTAGCTCCTTCTTATCTCTAACTTTTATTTTTCTTTATAGGGTAGTCACTTCATCTCCTACCCTTCTTAAATTTTCAAAAATCTTCTCCCTTTTTCAAAAACCTTCTTATTTTCAAACTTCAAACCGCTTTCACAATAAAAAACCTTGACTTTTCTCAAGTGATTTTCAAATTTTATTTTCTTTAATAAATGTCAATCAATGTTAATCCTACTTTGACCAATTTCAAAAAAAAAGATATAAAAAAGATACTGCAGCTCATTCAAAAAATTTGTGCCTTTGTGCACTTTTCATTTTAAAACTTTTCATAAAGTTTAGACATGAGTAATTTCCATAGTTGAGATATAATTCTCCTATTCACCATAGTATTTAAGATATTGACATTTTCCACTTAGATGTTGAGTGATAGACTTGTTGATTTTAATCCAAGTAAGATCCTCCATCTTTAGGTGATGCAAATGTTGTCTTATGCTTGTGGGCGGCTAGTCTAGTTTTCTCATTAAAATGACGAATTGTCTTTACATTTAAAATCAATCAAAACAAACTATTTTTTTTTATATTTTACCACAAATTACGGGGTTTTGATTCTATATTGCACTTTGTGGGTACGTAGGCATGAGCCGATAAGTCTCTACAAACACGAAAATCTAAAAAATGATTCTCTTCTCATCTACCCAATCTCCTTTCAAACAAACATTTTCAAACCAAAAAGCGTAGATATTTCAAAGGGCTCCCATAGAGTACTATAAACGTTTTGGGTGCTAGCACCTTCCCTTCACGTAACCAACCCCCTTACTCATTCTCTGTTTGTTCTTATTTTAGAACTTGTTTAGGTTTGTTCGCTCTTTTTCCTTTCCTTTTGAATAAAATAAAAGTGTAGTGGCGACTCTTACATTTTGAGTTAAATTAATTAATAGCTTACACTCACAAATTTTCCCGCTACAAAACCGGTTGGAAATGTTCCTGAGACTTCAACTCCTCAAACATTTGGCGTGAATCAACAACGAGGAAAGTGATTACAACGAGGAGAACGGGTGCAACGAGTGAGGATGCCTTAGGGATGTGGAACCGGTGGCCAGTATGACCAACTCAGTCACCAACATTAATTTATGTAATATTATTTTTAATTAATGGTTAATGTTATTTATTTTTGTTAAAAAAATTTTACACAATGCACCCTATCTCCATATCAATTGGCGACTCTCTTTTAAGATTAAGACTCAGTCGTCAATTGAATTGACAGTATCATATGGTGTCTCAAATCCAATTGGTGACACCACTAAACCTCATAAAGTTGTCGCCAATTGACACAGCGCCACCTTTCTATTATACTCATAAAGTGGAGTACTTTGGAAAATAACTTGAAAATGGGATATTTTGAAAATATTTTTGAAAAAGTGAAATATTCTTCTAAAAATTTCGCATATTCCATTTTCTCTTTTAATTTTAAAAGAAACACATATATATTATTGAAAGAGATGGTAAATGTGTGTATAATTTTCTTGAAAATATAATATTTTTAATTGAATGTCAAATTCTTTTTATTTTATATTATTTTATTTATACTTGGGTAGTTGATTAGTAACAAAGAATGGTTGGTGAAATGGTAGATCTAAATTCTAGAAGAGTATTATCATTTTCAAGCAATCGGTAGGTGACATTCCCATTTTGCTGCGAAAATATTATTAAAATAAAAAAATTCAATTCAGTTAAACGTTTTGTTGTTCAACGCTCATCGACTATCCGGTGAATTTAAAACCCAAACACTACTACCTACCTTCCCACTGTTGTGGCATTATAGCACTTCATCCCATTTCCTCATTATACTTTCTTGCTTCATTCCCTTTATACTTGCAGGTTAAATTAAATTCAACTTGTTTATTCTAATTTTAATAATAATCTTTATGTTTATGATCATCATCATCATCTTTTGAGCTTTCAATTTAATTCACTTGATTACAATAACCTATTGTTTTGATTTTGCAGCATTTTTACACCAAATGGCATCTGGTAACTCCATATCAGCTCAACAGGTAAGTCATTTTCTTTTTGGTATAGCAGTTTCCATTCTCTTTTATTGTATTTGTATTTGTTATAATTTATAGATAGGTTTCATTAGTAATGAATGGCCATTTTGAATTTTGATCTTGAAGGATGTTGTTATAGAAGAGATAGATCATGTAAGGGTAGTCACTTTGAACAGACCAAAGCAATTAAATGCTATCTCACCTAGCCTGGTAAATCCACTCAACTCTACCTTCAATTTTTTTTCTTAAGTGGTTAGTTAGTGTCTAAATCTACAACTAGTAAGTTTGTTATAACCTAGTGATGCGGTTGCCCGGGTTAGGGTTTTTACCCTTCGCCTTCGGTGTGTATGTGTATGGGGCAATTAGGCCAGTCATCTAACATATTTTAGTTAAATCTTTGTATCCATTCAGGTTTTTCTGCTAGCAAAATGTTTGGAAAAATGGGAGAAAGATGAGAAAGCGAATCTAATCATCATTAAGGTTGTAATTTACTTAATTACCCTTTGAAATTGTTGAAATGGACCTATTAACAGTTAAGTTCAGAAAGAACCATTAACAGTTTGATTTCGTTTTACTGAACTGTTGTTAGTTCAGTACGATTCAGTTTTCATTCTTGAATCGAACCATGAACTGTTCTGGTTCTGACAATTACTTATTAGAGTTAACAGGGTCGTCTTAAGTTTTTGGAGGCTCCGTGTAAGTTGGTTGTTGTTTAATCGTAGAGAAACAAAAAGGGGGCCTATTTAAATATGCTTTAACAGTGACAAATATTTAATGAGGCTCTATTTAACCACAATTTAACTTGACAAATCTTGGGCTCTATACGATAGCCTGACTTACACGTCTTGAAAGACTGTCCTGAGAATTAAACAAACTACTACTGTCTTCTAGTATTTACTGCTTGCTTTACTAATGTACATTTGGCTTATTATTATTAGGGGGCTGGTAGGGCTTTCTGTGCTGGAGGGGATTTGAGAGTATTCTATGGTGGCAGGATAACAAGTAAGTCTATCACTCTCTGTAGGATTTTATGGAATCTGTGTAAAAGTTTATAGAGGATGATGATGTTAGAAACGGACTCCCTATTACCTATGAAACACGAATACTGACACGAATATCGGACAAGACATTGACATGTTTCTATCTTAAGAAAATAAAAGTGGTTGAATTTGAATGTAACTACATGTGTCAGTGTTAGATATTCGTATGTGTCGGACACCAGACAAGGTTTCAATCTGAAGTGTCAGTGCTACATAGCTTGCTACCATAGCGGTCGCGGTCTCAACTGAAGGATGAAGATGAAGATGACTTGAATTTTAAATCTGATTTGATAAAGTTGAAATACAAGTCGTTCGATCTCCATTCAACAGCCTACAACCACAATTGCAGTGACAATACCGTTTGCTGATTGTAGGGAATCCGGTTCCGATGATCCTAACAACTGAAATAAGCACATCATCATTTTTACATTGTCCAACCTCTTTTGAAGAGTAATAATGCATTTATTATTGACAGGGGGAGATTCATGCCTTGAAGTTGTCTACAGATTTTACTGGCTTTGCCATCACATTAGTACCTATAAGAAAACTCAGGTTCTGTCTATTAACTCAGTTAATCTCACTGTTCTTAATCATGTAAAGCAATACATGATGCTTGTAAAAACTTAGTGAAGTCTCATATTTTCTAAAAGAGTGTTGTTTTGTTACATCAGGTTGCTCTTGTTAATGGAATTTCAATGGGTGGAGGTGCAGCATTGATGATTCCATTGAAGTTCTCAGTTGTAACAGAAAAAACAGTGAGTTTATTTTATCTAAATCCCTTTTTTTGGTTTTGTGGTGTAATTGTTAATGTATTAGCATCCTAAGATTCAAAAATAAAATATGATTTGACAGGTTTTTGCCACTCCTGAAGCAAGTTTTGGATTTCATACTGATTGTGGTTTCTCATACTACCATTCTCGTTTGCCAGGGTATTTAGGTAGTTACCACTATCTCAGGAAAAAAAAAAGTGTTTTCTTCTGAATTACATAAAAAAACTTAGAGATTATTTCATGTATGTGTAATATACAGGTGAATATTTGGCACTTACGGGAGGGCGGTTGAATGGACAGGAATTAGTTGCAGCTGGACTCGCAACACATTTAGTCTCTTCTGAGGTTTGGTTATGTTCACTGCTCACATATACTTGCATAATCATAGATACATAATTGATTTGTGGCAGTGTACTTATTACTTAAATGCCAAAAACTCAAAGGAATCGGTCTCATTCTGTTTTAAATCAATCTGCATTTTTTCTTCCATAAATGATACACACATGCTAACTCATGAACAATATCGTTATTATCTTAAAGTAGTTCAGAATGTTTTTGATTTACATACTCTTTCGTATTATCGGAAATTACTCTCTTAATTGAGCTCCAAAATTGTGTTCGAACAATATGATAAACATTTACAAACACTCAAAACACTTGAGACCTATCTTTCATGAGAAATTTCAATGTAACTCGAGCGCATCATTAATAAAAGCCTGATATCTGATATTATCCTATCTTTTTCTCATGCTACAAATAGTTTAAATTCTCCTAACCAGTTAATTTTGTCCAAATAATTTTCAACTCCCTTCAAACATTACATTCTTTCGTTAAAATGTCTCATCCAAACACACTCGGTACAATTCATATCTAATCGAATCTGTGCTAATTTTAGAAACAAATATCTACTAATTATTAGTATTATTTTCGTAACTGGATACTCCTCAGTAGGTCTATCAGATATTTCTATGATTTTGGTCCTTTAAATGAATTATGAGACTAATGGAAAAAGACTAATCTCTAGTTTAGTCATGTTGAACTCGCGACTAATTATGATGACTTTTTCTTGCTTTGGATGTTTGGAATATAGGAACATGAACCATATGTAACTTTCCATATCTTTGCCAGAGAAAGCAAATTTATGTTAATCAGATCATATTTTCTGTGTACCAGAAAATCGGTGAGCTAGAGAAGCGCTTGATTAGCTTAAATTCTGGTGACGAGAATGCTGTGAGATCAGTGATTGAAGAATTTTCTTTAGAGGTTAAACTTAATGAAGAGAGTATCTTAAACAAGTAATTACAATGATTTCTAGTATTTTTTAGTTTTATTCTAGCAATCACCATCAAACCACACTCTATTATGACTGTAACTTTTGGAGATTTTTCAGGAAATCAATAATTGATGAGTGTTTTTCAAAGGATTCTGTCGAAGAAATTATTAAATCAGTGGTACGTTTCTTACCATTTCAATAGGAATATTATTTTGTAACCGTTTCGACCGTGTTCTTTTTCGGCCTTGGAATGATACTATAAGCTTTTGATGTGAAGGAAGCTGAATCAAGCAAGGAAGAAAATGGAACGATAGGTCCAGTTTTGAAAGAAATGAAAAGAACATCACCTACTGCGTTGAAAATAGCATTAAGATCGGTAACGATTTTATAAATTGAAAATAGCATAAAGACTACTGATTATGCATAATAGTTAATCTCAAAATACTATCTTGGATATGTTCAGGTTCGTGAAGGAAGGAATCAATCACTATCTGAATGTCTCAAAAAGGAATTCAGATTGACAATGAATATACTCCGAGCTACGATATCCGAGGATATGTACGAGGGCATTAGAGCTCTCACCATTGACAAGGACAATGCTCCAAAGTGGGATCCTCCGTCACTTGACAAAGTAGATGATGAGAAATTGGACTTAATTTTTAAGCCTTTTGACAAGGATTTAGAGCTTCAGATTCCAGAAAGTGAAGAATGCAGGTTGGTTTTTGTTAAGAGTTTTTAACTAATAAGCATGTTTTGTTGAATTTATTTTGTTATGATTACTAAAAATCATTTCTTTTTTAAATTCAAACAGGTGGGATGGTAAATATGAGAGTTCAGCTTATGCTATTCCAAACAGAGAAACACCGATATCAACTTAGACGCTGGTGTCCATTTATATAAGAGCTTCCTGAATTTATATAATTTATAGAGGTTTGAAATAGTACTAGAAAAAGCCTTCTATGGTTGTTATTACTAGAAGTGCTATGGTGAAGAAATAAAATGTTGGAATTACCCAAGAGAAGCTATATTAAGAACATGTTTGAACTAATTTATTAGAATTTGTTTAGTAACATAAAAACTTGTAAGATTGTATGAAAAAACTTATAAAAATAATTTACTATTGTTAATATTTATAAATATATATATTGTTAAGAATATTTGTATATAGAATAGTCCCACATCGACTATATCATGTAATTAGTTGTAATCTATTTATATATAATAATGTCTCCGTAGTGCTTTTCAAAACACACGGTTTATTCAAATTTCTTTTAGTCTCTTGTATTTCAACATGGTATCAGAGTCTTGTTTAAGATTCGGTGGGCCACCTACTATGGTTTCCATTATTGAGCCACCCACCATTTATTTCCATGCTCCAGATGTCCAGTCCTGGGCATGAAGAGGTGGGTGTGTTAAGAATCTCACATCGGATAATATATGACATGAACATGTGTTTATAAGTGGGGGCAATCCTTACCCTACCAACCGGTTTTGTAGGGTAAGTTAGGCTCAACCACATTTCTTAACATGGTATCAGAGCCCTCTTGAGTCTAGGTATTTTGTCACCTTCATTGATAATTTTTCACGTTGCACGTGGTTATTTTTAATGAAGAATAGATCTGAATTGTTTTCTATTTTTGAACAATTTTATCGGGAAATAAGAACCCAATTTGGTTTGTCCATTCGTACCTTAAGAAGTGACAATGCACGTGAATATTTATCTCAACAATTTCAAACATTTATGTCATCCAATGGTATTTTGCACCAAACATCTTGCCCTCATACACCCCAACAAAACGGAGTAGCCGAATGCAAAAATCGGCACCTCGTAGAAACCACTCGGACCCTACTTCTCCATGGTAATGTTCCTCTCCGGTTTTGGGGAGATGCAGTGCTCACGGCATGTTACCTCATAAATCGCATGCCCTCATCTGTCCTTAATAATAAAATCCCTCATTCAATCTTGTTTCCAAACTCTCCACTCCACCCAATTCCTCCTCGAGTCTTTGGGTCTACGTGTTTTGTACACAATCTCTCCCCTGGTCTCGATAAACTATCAGCTCGATCACTAAAGTGTGTCTTTCTTGGCTATCATCGATCTCAAAAGGGTTATCGTTGCTACTCACATACTCTACAACGATACCTCATATCGGCCGATGTTACCTTCTTCGAGTCTATTCCATATTTCGAATCCAGCCAAGTAACTACGGAACCTCTACAGGAAAGTATTCCCACACCTCTTCCGGAAGTCCCATCTGTCATTATCCCCCATCATTCTAGGGAACCTGACCCACTCGATACCCCTACGGTTGACCCCCCCCCCCCCCCCCACTCCTCGCCCACTTCAAACATATCAGCGTCGTCACCCAACGTCTGTCGTACCTGTCCCTGAAGTCGCACCTGTCCCTGAAGTCGCACCTATCCCTGAAGTCGCACCTGTCCCTGAAGTCGTATCTGTCCCTGAGGTCACTACGGACTCTCCTCCGACGCTCTCGCCATCACCGGATCCGATCCTGCAACCTGAGTCTGATCTTCCAATTGCCCTTCGAAAAGGTATACGTCAAACACGAAATCCTTCTCCACATTATATTGATTTATGTTATCATCGTCTTTCCCCTTTGCAGTATACTTGTTTGTCTTCTTTGTCTTCTGTTTCTATTCCTAAAACTCCAGGTGAAGCATTATCTCACCCTGAGTGGAGACAAGCAATGATTGATGAAATGTGTGCTCTTCAAAGCAGTGGTACATGGGAACTGGTTCCTCTACCCCATGGAAAATCTTTAGTAGGTTGCCGTTGGCTTTATACAGTGAAGGTTGGTCCAGATGGCAAGATTGATCGATTTAAAGCTCGCTTGGTAGCCAAAGGATACACTCAAATTTTTGGGTTGGATTATGGTGATACCTTTTCGCCTGTAGCCAAGATGGCATCTGTTAGACTTCTTCTAGCCATTGCAGTCATTCGACATTGGTCTCTTCATCAACTTGACATCAAAAATGCATTCTTACATGGCGATCTTGAAGAGGAAGTATATATGGAGCAACCACCTAGGTTTGTTGTTTAGGGGGAGTCATCGAATATGGTTTGTAGGTTACACAGGTCTCTTTATGGTCTTAAGCAATCTCCGAGAGCTTGGTTTGGTAGATTCAGCACTGTAGTACAACAGTTTGGTATGATCCGTAGTGAAGCTGACCATTCTGTTTTTTATCTTCACTCACCCCAAGGGTGTATTTATCTTATTGTGTATGTAGATGACATTGTCATAACTGGTAGTGATCAGCAGGGAATACTCCAGTTGAAACAACATCTCTCGAAACAATTTCAGACAAAAGATCTTGGTAAACTCCGTTATTTCTTGGGTATTGAAGTAGCCCAATCTAAACATGGTTTGGTGATTTCTCAGCGGAAATATGCTATGGATATTTTGGAAGAAACAAGTTTGTTAAATGCTAAATCAGCCGATACTCCTATGGATCCAAGTGTTAAACTACTACCCAATCAGGGGGAGCCTCTATCTGACTCAGGAAGGTATAGGAGATTGGTTGGAAAGTTGAATTATCTCACAGTCACTCGTCCGGACATTTCTTTTGCAGTCAGTGTGGTAAGCCAATTCTTAAATTCCCCTTGTCAGGAACACATGGATACTGTTATCCGGATTTTGAGATACATCAAATGTGCTCCAGGAAAAGGTCTTGTGTATGAGGATAAAAGACATACCCAGATAATTGGATACTCTGATGCTGATTGGGCGAGATCACCCATTGATAGACGATCCACCTCTGGGTATTGTGTACTTGTTGGAGGAAATCTTATATCCTGGAAAAGTAAGAAACAAAATGTAGTTGCAAGATCAAGCGCGAGGCAGAGTATATGGCCATGGCAATGGCAACATGTGAACTTATTTAGTTAAAACAGTTGCTCAAGGAACTTCAAATTGAAGAAGCAAGACCAATGACATTTATTTGTGATAATCAAGCTGCATTGCACATTGCTTCAAATCCAGTCTTCCATGAGAGGACAAAACATATTGAGATAGACTGTCACTTTGTCAGAGAGAAGATCGAGTCAGGCGACATCGTCACAAGCTTTGTCAACTCTAATGATCAATTGGTAGATGTGTTTACAAAATCTCTACGAAGCCCCAGAACTAATTATATATGTAACAAGCTTGGTGCATTTGACTTATATGCTCAAGCTTGAGGGGGAGTGTTAATATTTATAAATATATATATTGTTAAGAATATTTGTATATAGAATAGTCCCACATCGACTATATCATGTAATTAGTTGTAATCTATTTATATATAATAATGTCTCCGTAGTGCTTTTCAAAATACACGGTTTATTCAAATGTCTCTTAGTCTCTTGTATTTCAACAACTATATTTAAATAACGTGTTTTTATCTTATTTATATCGAGTGTTTCAGAAGTCTGTGTAGATGGGTTTGATAATTTTGTCAAGTAGTTTAAGTCAGGTAATTTAGAGAGGCCAGAATAGATTTTTTTTTTCATTTCAAAACATTAATTTTTTTTTTGCAAATAGATTGAAGCAAGTTATTGGGAGAGTAATTTCTGATGAATTTGTTAATGGAAAATAAATTTCCAACATTCACTATGCATTTGTTAATGGAAAATAAATTTCCAACATTCACTATGCATTTGTTAATGGAAAAATAATTTCAGACACTCACTATGCATTCGTTAAAGAGAGACATATTCAGAATGAAATCTTGAAGCAAAAAAGTTGATTGTGGGATTATAGGACAATTGTGATGAAGTAGTAATAATTTTTAGTAATACGAATCAAGTGCGTTAACTTGTTGTCTTTACAAAATGAAATACAATGGCTTTATATAAGCCTTACAGTTTCAATACAAACCTCACATTATAATAAGGTAAAACTATAATAACCAAATAGAAACTTATTCAACTTATTCTATTATTAAACATAACTAATATGTTATTTCTATTTATAATAAAGATTAATATTAGTAAATATGCCAACAAATTCCTCCCTTTAAACTGAAATGCTCATTGAGCATACAGTTTAATTTTCATGTGGATGTACTCCCAATAGCCTTCTAAGTTTCACAAACTGATTCAATTTCAATGGCTTTGTCATAATGTCTGCAATTTGTTCTTTTGTTCCATAGAAAACCAACTTTACCACTCCCTGATTTGAAAGATCACGTAAATAGTGATATCTGACATCAATGTGTTTAGTCCTCTGATACATCACTGGGTTCTTAGTGAGCTTGATTGATGAACTGTTGTCACAAAGAATATCAATACATCCACAATTTTCATCTCTAATTTGTTCAAGAACCTCTATCATCCAAACACAGTGACAAGCACATGAGGTTGCGGCCACATATTCAACTTCAGTAGAGGATAAGGTAACGATGGCTTGTTTCTTCGAGCTCCAACAAACAACTGCCTCACTTAATAGAAAAACATACCCTGAAGTACTCTTTCTATCATCGACATCTCTTGCATAATCACTGCCAGTATATGCCAAAAGCTTTGAGGCAGTCCTTTTTCTAAAAAATAATCCAAAATCCAAAGTACCTCTTAAGTACCTCAATGCTCTTTAGCAATATGCATGTGTTCCTCTTTTGGATTAGCCATGTAACGTGAAATCAAACACACTACATACATCATATATGGGCGTGTAGCTGTAAGATACATTAGATTACCTACTAATTGCTTATACAAAGTTGAATCAACATCTTTTCCACCTTCTCTTGACAACACAGTTCCAGAAACTATTGGATTTTTGACAGAGTTACAATTTCACATATTGAATCTTTCCAAAACTTCTCTTGCATATTTCTTTTGGCATAAGTGAATTCCATCCTTTATCTGCTGCCACGGCCAATA